TAAATAAAAAAAAAAAAAAAAAAATTAAAGGGCTATGGGGATCTGGGGTTGTGGCTCAGTGGTAGAGCACTTGCCTAGCATGTGTGAGGCACTGGGTTCGATTCTCAGCACCACATATGAATAAATAAAATAAAGGTCCACTTACAACTAAAATAAATATATATTTTAAAAAGGAGGGGAACTGTGGATGTGGCTCAGTGGTTTAATCCCTGGAATAACAATAAGAAGAGGATTGTACATAGGCTAATTGTAGCCACAAAGCAGGTACAATATGTCTAGTTAGCTAAATAGAAATTCTACAAATAACTGAGAGAAAAAGACTACAAAACTTTTGTTTTCAGAAAGACTCCCGAGTGAAGGAAGGGAAAGCTGTTCTCTAGAGGTGGGGGCCAGTTGGATATCTATTTCTTTATAAGAGAAGACATGAAAGAAGAGCATTTGCAAACCGTATGGTTACATGGAGACCAAGAGTAGGAAGCACTGTTGAACTACAGAGCTATTTCAAAGAAGCAACTTTCTGTGGGTGTAAAACATAACCAGAAATCTTTTTTTTTGTACCAAGGAGTGAGCCCATGGGCGCTTAACCACTGAGCCACAACTTTGGCGCTTTTTTATTTTGAGAAAGGGTCTAACTAAATTGCTTGGGGCCTTACTAGGTTGCTGAGGTTGGCTTTGAACTTGCAATCCTCCTGCCTCAGCCTCCCAAGCCACTGGGATTACAGGTGGGTGCCACAGTTCTGAGCCAGAAATCATTTTTTTTTAATGGTGTTTTTTTATACCCTGCAACTGAAGAAGATCTACCTTTTTAAAGAAATTTCAGTGGCAACAGAAATCATGGTTATGTCTCTATTGCCTGACCCAATAGCATGCATATAATCCGTTACCAAATGCTGGATGAACTAAAAGTGGAAGAAGCAACAGCCAGGTCTGTCATGAAGGGAAAGATCATAGACTTCCGAAGCTCTGGTCTTGATTCAAATGCTGACTTCTTGAGTTGGGGAAAATTATGTGTCTTTCTTAGTTTCTCAGACTACTTTGTGACTGCCCAAATTATAGTCCACCATTTAATTTAATTCTTGGGCTCTATTTTTTCTCATGTGTACCAATGATCACATTCTAATTGTAATAGAAATAGTGACTCTTTCTTCATTCAAAATATTTTGATCATTCCTAATCTAGGTTAAATGCTCACCTAAATGCTGAGTGTCAAAAGTGATTAAAACAAGATTCCTGCCCTTCAAAGGCTTATTCTAGATGGAAGAAAAAAAAATTGTAGTACACCACAATTAGATGCTACAATAATGGCATGATTAGATATTGCAATATCAGTACTGCATGATGTTTTGACGAGCTCAGAAGACAGGGCATTTGGACAGGATCTTGAAGAACTAATCTATGTACATGAATGATTATTTCTTCAAGTGACTTGAAAACAAGGCCACATCTTATAGTTTTTACTCCTTGGGATGCCTTTTCCATGATAAGTGCCAAATGAATACATTTGAGATTTAAAATAAACTGAATAAAATCTGAGTGTGATGCTTTTAATGAAAGAAAAACATAAGCTTCAGAAATATATTATTTTCTGATAAGGGGTTAAATAAAACTTTTCAGGTACTCCAGTATTTGTTTCTAAAAAATGAAATCAATTCAAATATTCATTTTGAAATACCAGCCTCTGAGAGTCTTTTTTTTTTTTTTTTGGATACCATAAACCAGGACAGTATAATGCTAAGCTTAATCTTCGGTAAAAGGTTCCATCAGCTTCTTTCTCAGCACTCTATGGTGGAGGTACTGTCATCCCTTGACAAATGAGGGAACTGAGACAGAGAAAGATAAGCTCCAAACCACAAAATCAGCAGGAAGTGAAGGCTGGGTTCCAACCAGCCTTGTCTCACTCCAGAGTGACACCTCAGCCACCAGACCAGGAGGCCTCACTGATGATTGGCCTGCACAACTAAAAAGGATTAGGAGTGTGCAGGGATCTGGGAATGGTGACAGCTGTTCCTATGCAGATAAGCATTAGGCTGCACTAGTGGTTATGCACTTTTCCAGGCATGCAGAAGGGCCTTAAAGTGACCCTTTGCTTTTCAATAATTTAGGCCAAAAAACACCTCTTGACCACCATTTTTTATTTTTTTAAAACTCAAATGTAAGTTTTTCAACCATGAATCTTCTGGGGTTTGGATTCAGATTTTGAAACATAAGGTATACTCTCATTCTCATTGTCTTTGATACCAAGGAATTATAACCTAGATTTTCCTGTTACCCGGATAGTTCATGTCAGTCGTCAGATATGTCATCGCAACATCTTATTCTCTCTCTTGCTTGCTCATTGGCACTGCTCTCAATAAGTAAGACCAAGGGGAAGCAACCAGGAACGCAGCCAGGGGCAGAGGACCTGAGAAATCTCAGTATCTAGAGATGCACATCAGAATTTAAGTCACTCGACTTCCTCCTTGAGGCTGGTCATGTGCTATTCCTGCAGAGGAAGTCTGGGAGACTTCATAGTGAAAAGGTCTGGGAAGAACAAAGGGTGTCACAAAGAAAAGGACTGGGAGCTGGGTGCAATGGCACAGACTTGCAGCCCAAGGTATTCAGGGGGCTGAGGCAGGACGATCATGAGTTTGAGGCCACCTCGACAATTTAGCAAGACCCTAACTTAAAAAAAAAAAAAGAAAAGAGCTGGAAATGTAGCTTAGGGATAGAGCATTTCTGGGTTCAATTCCCAGTACCACAAAAAGGAAAAGAATAGGAAAATAGGTGATAAATAATGGAATAAAACAAAAGATGAGGTGAATTTCATCATGAACTTCATCATGCCCAAGCTTATTTCTGGCTAGTAAGGGTTTGGTTTGCTTGCAAAGGCACAGCAGCAACTGGAACATGTGTTCACAAATCTGTCCATCAAAATCTCACCCACTTTGAATAGTCAGCATGGAACACAAAAGAGGAATAAAGACAGAATGTAGCTTTTGTTCATCCTGCATTACTGGGAAGGGACAGTCGACTGGCTGTGGCAAGGCTATCCCCACGGAGGAGATGTATGTAACAAGAGACCAGAGCTGGAGACCACAAACCATATTCTTATCCCATTTTATCTGCTACCACGTACCCCTCACAACTTTCTGGTTACAATTAGCTGCTCACATAGTATTTCTAGTCAAAGCTACCATCATAATAGTGGTGGCAATAATATTGACATTGCAAATAAGAACAATTGAGATATTTTTGGAACATAATAGAAAAGAATACCAATTTTGACAGGTAAATTTCCATACACACACACACACACACACACACACACAGTACTGGGAATTGAACCCACAGAAGTTCTACTTCTGAGCTACATTCCCAGCCCTTTTTATCATCTTGGGGCAAGGTCTCACTAAGTTACTCAGGTTGGTCTAGGACATGTAATCCTCCTGCCTCGGCTTCTCAAGTAGCTGGGATTACAGGTACATGCTCCAGTGCTGAGCTGTATATTTTGACTTTTAAATAAAAATATTTCCCTTCTCACTCAACACATAATTATGTTAGTCTTTTTCACCTTAGCCTTGTCCCCAAATACCCTCTCGGCATGTCTCCTGCCCATGTAGTCAGACCACACTATCTACTCTATAAGCTGTGACATTTTAACTTGTGAGATAGTGGAATAAAGAAGCATTCTGAGTTCAGGCTTATTTCAGTTCAAATTGCAACTTTTCCTCAGTATATTGTGCAACTGTAACTTATCTGAGTTTAAGTTTCCTCAGTCTGAACAGCTCTGGATAAAATATTGTGTGTCTCAAAAAGTAACAGAACAGGGAGGAGCAGAGATTCCATTTCCGAGATGCACAGTGACCCTACTATCAACAGAAAATAGAGGTATTTTCTGTACATGCTTAAAATGAAAAGACAGACTTCCTTTCCTAATTACCAAAGACTCAATCACCAGCCTGTCTTGACATTCACCAGGATCTTTTCTCCTCCTCTGAGCCTACTGCCTTTTGGTAGTGTGAGCAAAGAGCGAACACACCTCACATCTGTAGGCATTCTGACAGAGGATCCCTAGAAAAGAGGATGCGTGAGATTGAGGGTATACAGGGAGAGTCGGACATAATTTTGGCAACCAGCTGGCAAGACAGTAGAGCACAAACCCTGAGAGTGTCTCTATCCCCGGAGGGTAGAGATCAGTCACTGCCTATCCCCCTCCCCCTGCCCACCCACCATGCACAAAGGCTAAGTGCTCTCTGCTTCCTTGACTACCTTTTCTGTACTCAAAGTTCAATCTGATAACATGCCAGAGAGGTCCACAGAGGAGGCTTCACATCTCCTATGACCCCAAACCTGCTCTGTCTGCTAAAAAGTAATTGCACACAGCCAAGAGACAAAACCACCCCCGGCCACAGTTGGGTGATATCTGTGTAGTTGTCAAGATAAACGGAGAAAACAAGTCGCTGAAGACAGCAGAAAGCAAGGCCCGCAGAAGGAAATCATCTATGATTAAAAAGAAGAGAAGCAAGCTGAGGGAAGCAAGCTTAAAGAACAGCCTGAGGAAGAGTGTTCACCACAAGGCCATCCTAGGCTCCCTTCTGCCCTAACAGGAATTTATGCATTGGTAAATTCATTTATCCACTGGTTCGCTGAGCTAAGCACTCGGTGCTTTCAGGGCGCATCGTAGTTGGTGCCACGCTTTGACTCAGTCAGATAAAACCCCTTCATTGCCTGCACTTTAGATGGATCTGTGGTTGAAATGGGAATACTCTTCCAGGAAATGGTAAGCTTTCTGGGCCCTTCTTCTCTGGTCAGAGCTCTTATTTCCTTGCTGTGCTGCTGAAGAAGAATGAGCCTTCAGGTTAAACCTTTGCTCCACCAAGCTGGAAAAGAGATCTTGGAATGGCCAAATGGCAGGCCCAATCTACTAAACCATTTTCTCCCCTTACACTGACGGTCAGCTGGCATGGCCTTGTGCTCACTGAGGAATGAGTTACCTAAGCAGGGGTGGCGCACCTCCTTACCTGGTCTCTCAGCCTTTCTTGGTGGCCCATGATCGCTGTGGCATGATGGGGGTATTTCTGCTTTAGATGTTCCAGGAAAGCTTCTCTCTTTCTATCCATCTCCGATGTCTGCATTCCCAGTATTTCTTTGGAACTTCGGGCCCCCCCTAGAGTGTGTCTCCTTGGGATATTTCGGGAAGACTTGGAAACTGAAGTACGATTGCTTCCATTAGAAAGGCGCTCCTTGGTTCTGCGGCATTCTGCATCTTCTACTGATGTTACATGCAGATTGCTTTTTCCTTGTTCTGCAAAATGAAAAAAAAATACATTTCGCAATTAATGATTTCACACAAGAAATCTCATTTATAGAACACCAACAGGGTTTGTGGCAGTTGTTAATGAATCATTGTAACTTAGCAAACCTTTTCCCTTTTCCTTTGCTTTTTCTTTTGTAGCAAAAAAAAGGGGGGGGATATCCATAATCAGGAGAAATATGAAAAATTACACTGTAGAAATAAAAGATGTTGTAGCGAAAGCCCTGCTATTTCTGACTTTCCTTCCCTGAAGTTATTCCTAACAAGAACACTTGTTCAGACCCATTGTCTGCAAGCAATTGGGTCACCCTTTAACTTCATCTATAATTACAACAAAGTTAACACCAGTGATTCTGATTATTTCTGTATTCGTAATTATAGTCATCCTGGTGACAGGATATTTATGTTTTTATAATCTGAAGATGGTTTTCATCACCAAGAACAAAAATAGCTATCACCCTACACATAAGCCAGATAATCATTGACACATGTGAACAACTTGAAAATTCTATTCTTCCATTAGCATAAGTCAAAAGCAAGCAGAGCATATCATTAGAGGTATTAATCAAGGGGATGGGAAGATTTCAAGACATTTTACTTGAAGTGGACTTTACTTAAAACACACAAAGAAAAGGAAGAACTATGGTGTGTGTTGATAACTTTGATCTAGATATACTGCCACAAAACTGACCTTTAAGAGACAAGTTGGTTTACACTTAGAACAGGACAATTAAGACATGCAGGGTCAATGGTTAAAGTGAAGAACCTATACGGGGATCCCCATTGATTCTCAGTGGGGATTCCTTCTCAATACATTTCAGTTAACTAGAAAAAGGAGTTAGTTACTTTTTTCAAAAGCCAGTTGAGGGAATGAAAGTTAAAAACTTTCAGAAGCAAGTCAGAAACTGGATGCATTCTCTTTATAAAGTCTCAAAGAGGACAGTTGTTGTCACACAGTCTTAGAGACACAGGCAGAAGAATGTGTCCCTATCCACTGAATTCCCTGGAAAAACCAGTAGATTGGGACTTGGGAGTCCTGGCTTTAATCCTAGATTCAGAACACACAATTCTTAGCCTCATTTTCTACACTAATAAAGTAAGGATGGTTAGCGGGGCATGGTGGCACATGCCTATAATCCCAGCATCTAGGGAGGCTGAAGCAAGAGGATTGCAAGTTTAAGACCAGCCTCAGCAACTTAGCAAGACCTTCTGTCAAAATAAAAAGGGATTGTATGTAGTTCAGTAGTAAAGCACCCCTGGGCTTATCCCCAGTACAAAAAAAAAAAGAAAAGAGGGGGTTGGACTAGCATTAGAAATGCCAAGAGCCTTCTACCTCTAAATTCTTTAAATCTACTATAAATTTTTAAAATAATATATTTCAAATAGCAGTTTATTTGCCAATAATTTAAAGTTAAATGCAGGAAAATAGATTCCATATTTGAGAGTTCTGCTCACTTGCATCAGATAAACAGAGACCCAAACCTTCACACTAGAGATACAAAATGACAGCTTTCCAGAGTTAGGCATAAACCAAGTTCCCTAAAACCAACGCCATCAACGTAGTTTCCTCTTTGCCTAGAAATATCTGTACATAGAACTCTAGGTACAGACTCTTTGCTTAAGCATAAAAAAAGTAATAATCATCTAGGGCTGGTTTTCCTGTTATAGTCTTCCAAAACTTGATGTTTGTTCTGGGAATAATATTTCTTGTTTACCCTTCACTTCTCATTATATTGCTAATTACAGCATCTCCATCAGACACTGATGAAGAAAGGGAGGAAAAACACAGCCAAATTAGTTAATCCTACTTTTTCGTTAGTTTCAGCAGTAAGTTTAAAGAGAGGGGGAGATGGAACTGTTGGTTAAAAAGATAACTGAGGGATTCCCTGTGATTTCATTTATTTAGGTTCCTCTTTTAATGCACAGATTCACATCATGGCTACTTTTTGTTTGTTTATTTGTTTTTTGTTTTTGTTTAGGGTCAGTTCCCTCATAACATAAAAGTAACAGATCTAGTGCATAAAACAAAACACAGGCCTGGGGATGTGACTCAGTGGTGGAATGCTTGCCTAGCATATGCAAGATCTGGGGTATGATCCCCAGAACCATAAAAATGCAGAAAAGGGCATATCTCAGGTTGATAAACACACAATCTGAAGAAGTTGATCCCCTGAGTGTGTGTTGCGCATGCATTTTGTATTAGCCAAAATTGATATATACCCGATATAATACTGTTAACTTTTCAGTAGATTTTTAAGATTATTTTTTTAAATATTTATTTTTTAGTTACAGGTGGACACAGTATCTTCATTCTACCATTTTACTTTTATGTGGTGGTGAGGATCGAACCCAGTGCCTCATGCATGCTAGGCGAGCACTCTACCACTGAGCCATAGCCACAGCCCAATTTTTAAGATTATTTTTGACAGCATTAAAATAGTGCTTTTAAAACTACCCAGGACAGCTAGATTAATGAACAGGATTGAGTCTCTAGAAGGTGATTTCTTTACAGTTATAACACACGCTGCACATTCACCAGATGGATAAATGTTCATGCCCAGTCAGTCCCACCACCAGCAGAAAGCTGCTTCCTGCTTGGCTATGACACCCAGACTCCCCTGAGCTATTCTATTTCATCCAAGGATCATCAGAAGAGGTCAAGCCAGCCAGAACAGTAACCTCTTGGAAACTAAAAAGAGTTTTCTACTTTCTTCTTTAAAATAAATTTGGAGAAGAGCTAGAAGGAGGGTCTCAGAGGTCATTGTCAATCTTCTGTCAATGTTAACCTTTGGGTGCCCTCAACTAACTTGGACTCTAAACCCCCATTCTTTCTAACACTTTTCACTGTGGATGCCACATCAACCTTATACTGCTTTTCGACTTTTTTTTCTTGTGGATTTTTAACAAGGTTTATTGTGACACAGAGGAAAGCAGGTTGGACCTCCTGCCCAATGATAAAGATCAGCGACATCTGCCTCCTCTCCCACCACCAGGCACCTGCTCCACTGTCACCAGCACTCCAGCAACCAACACAAAAGCCACTTCATATGCTTCCCAGTCACCTGAGCCTCTTCCTCACTAAGGCTCCACTCTTGGAAGCTGTCAACTCCCACACCTGAGCGAGAAGTGACAACTCTTAACATTGTGGCATTTGGGGAGAAAGTGGTCTTTCAGTTGAGGAGAAAAACTAAGCAGGGTTACAAATAAACAAGAAAGGGAACTGGCAAAAGACATTTCATCACAATTCCTCAGCCATGGAGTCAGAGAACTGAGTCCCGCCAATTCCTCATTGTCCACATGAATAGAAAAAGCTCAAGTGTGGATTAACCAAGCCTTCCAAACAGAAATACAATTCTATTTCTTGTTTGGAATGAGCTTTGGTGCTAACATTTAAACATGGGTGTGTCTAGTTGTTTGCTATTCTGGGAACCTTGGTCTAACAAAATAATGAAGCTGTACCATGAGGACAAGGCTCAGGCCAAGCTGAAAGCAGTCTGTGTCCTCTCCCTGCCCCTCCCATAACTCAAGAGCAGCAACTCTGTGGAGCTCCCTTCAAGCAGGGCAAAGAGCAAACAGGAGCTTCAAGTGGAAAACAACCCCTTAAACATTCCCTGGAGCAGAGGTGGGGAGGAAGAAGGCGGGAAAGCCAGAGAGACACTCTGCAGAGTTGCAAAGGCTTCCCCGCTGGGATGTGTAGGCATTCTGGAAATTAAAAGTGGAGCCTGGGGGCGGGGCAGACACCAACATGCAGGGGAGTTTGGGAAACTGGGCATCCAGAAGGAGATACTCATATAGCAAGCTATGCAGACAGGCAACTGCAGGAGCTGCCAAGACTGGCTTCTTTGCCATACTCAGGTTACTCTGGCAGGGTCAGCTGACCCACAGCAAGGGATCTGGGGCTGTGCATCATTTGGGCATTCCACCCCTGCTGGGAGCCAGTGGACAGTGCTGGCAGCTTCCCAGGAATTTTTTTTTTTTTTTTTTTTGGTGCTGGAAATTGAACCCAGGCTCTCCACATGCTAAGCACACACTCTATACCACTGAGCTACACTTAGGCCCTTCCCTGAGATTTTATTCCTGGGTCAAGATTAGTTTGGGTGCAGGAGACTGAATACAGGGGAACTCTACCACTGAGCATCCCTAGGCCTTTTTATTTTTTATTTTGAGACAGGGTCTTGCTAACTGGCCAAGGCTGACCTCAAACTTGCCATCTTCCTCAGTCTCCCGAGTGGCTGGGACTGCAGGTCTGAGCCACAGTGCCTGGTACCTCACTTCTATAAGAATGGCTTTTGGTTAATTATCTCTAAGACAAATCTTTTTAAATAGTGTCAAAATGCTCTTGTCTTAGGGAATATCATGGGGAATTACTGATTTGTCTGGCTGTACAGCCTCTCTGGGTGTGACATGGCAGTGACAACACCATCACAATCTGTTGTATACACAGGAAGATTGTATTTCCCAGCCTCCTCCACCTAATCAGGGCCTTGTGCTCATTCTGGTCAATGCAATGTGGGCAGAAGTAATGTGGGCCACATCAAGTCTTGGCCCCTGGACCTCCTGAATAATCTTCCATGTTTTCTCTCTTTACCTTTTTGGTCTGCTGGGTACAAAGAATCCAGTGGAAGCCTCCTGAGGGATAGCATAGTGATGGGACAGGAGAATCCTGATAGGCCACCCGGGAGAGCTACCAGCACAGGATCAAGATATTTCACTATGTGTAGACAAGATATTAACCTTGATCAAGCAAAACTACCAAGTTTAGAGGGCTATTAAAACAGTGAGCCTATCTGACTAATACAGATAATCTGCTGGATGCTAATGGGGTCCCTCAGTTTTCTAGCTTCCTTGTTAATGTAAGGATCCCCACCATATATACAAATAAGCATGAAAACCACAGCTGAAACCCAGCCATTATATTCCTTAGAGGAATATAATCAACTTTAAATTGGAAGTCAATGGTAAAAAGATTTCTAGTGTAGACCTTAGACAAAATAAGGCCAGCCCCTCCCCCAGAAAAGCATGTTTGTGTAAAGTGTTGATTAAAGTTCAATGATGGATTGATTATTTGATTGATTCATTCAGTCAGTCACACATATATTTATTGAGCGCCTGCGCTGTACACAGAGAGGAGTCAGGAGACAGAGTGGAAAGTTGTGATCAAGACAGACTTAATTCCCTGTCCTCTTAGAGGATGCTTCATTATAATTAGGGAGGCAGACAACAAATAATACACAATCTAAATGTCAGGTAGTGTTAAGTGCTTCAAAGAAGAAAACAGGATAAGGGGACAGAAATTGATGGAGTTATTTTAGAGGAGATTTTTTGAGCACAGACCTACATATCTATCATTCATCACGGGGAGGGGAAGGCAAGCAGGTGGGTTGACCAATCTTCACCTGCATAGAGGTTTCAAGATTTTAGAGGCCAGAGCAAAAGTAAACACCTCAGGGTGCTATGTGCAGGCCCAGGTATCCCAAAGAGTGCCTATCCCCCAGAGCCACACTAAGGAGCCCATGGCATTCAAAGGGAACATGATACAGTTAGATTCAAATTCTACCAATAATTATTGAGTGCCTACTCTGCCAAATGCAGAATGCAATACGCTTCCACACTGTTTCTTACCTACTAGCGGTGGGGCCCTCATTGATTAGAGCTATTCCTGGGGCAACCATATGCCCCACTTCACCCAAATAGCTCTGGGTTACAACTGTTGCCCAGCAAAATTATTTATAGGATTTATTTTCACTCTTGAATGTGTCTTGGTTCAGACAATAAGTTACATGATCACTCAAATGATCCTTATCTATAGCAGATTGACAGACTCAAAGTCCCTGAAGTAATATAACTTTCCTTCCATTCAACAAATATTTAGTGTCTTCTACATCCCTGGTGCTCCACTGGGTGCTGGGAATGCAAAGGTCAGGGAGACATGGTTGGTGCCCTGGAACACCATATTGTAACTGGGCGAAACAGATACACAGATATAACACTGAGTGCAATGACAGACGCAGACATGTGGTTATCATGGATGATGCTTGTCTCAGAGACATTGCTCTCCTCTGCTGTCCTCATACTGACCAGAAGAACTGGAAATGAAGCCATACTCCTTCAGGGCATCATATTCACCGGAACTAAATGGGATCTTGAACATCTAACTTGGATTCTACCCTCCTTTCGCAATCTTTCCAGGACATCTTTAAAGGACCTCTCTCACAGCCCCCAGTCCTCCCTCAAATCCAATACTCCTCTTCAATGCCTTCCCACTTAAGTAAACAGCAACTCCATTCTTCCAAGCCTCTCAGACCAAAATATTTGAAGTCATCTTTGATCTCACTTTTTCTGTACATCCCATGTGCAATCTTTCAGCTAATTCTTTTGGTTTTACCTTCAACATATATCTAGAATCTACCTTCTTATCACCACATGGCCCCAACTACCACTGTTTCTTGCCAGGTTTACTCAATAAGCCTCTGCAAGGGTCTCCCTGCCCTTGCCCCACCCCACTTGGGTTATGCTCAAGACAGCACCCAGTACTTACTACCTTTTAAAAGACAAACCCAAACTGCCAGCAGCTCCTCACCTCGCTGGAAATAAAAACCCAAATCCTTATCATTGTTCCACAGGCCCTACATGATCTGGCCTGGGATTATCTCAACCTCTTTTTCTTCCATCCTTCTCCCACATTCTTGCTTTCTTTGAACATGTTAGATCCTTGCTGTTCCCCCTCATCTTTGTTCAAACATCACCTCACTGAGACTTTACCTGATAATCCTATTTACAATCTTACCCACAAACCCACATTCCCTATCTCTTTCCCTGCCTTATTTTTCCTAGTAGGTTTATTTCTGCTCAGGAGGATTGTCAGATAAAATATAGGATGCTCAGTTGAATTTGGATTTCAGTACACAATGAGAGATTTCTTGGTATAAGTAGTATATCCCATGCAATAGTTGGGACATACTTATGCCAACCAATTATTGTTTATCTGAAATTCAAACTTAACAGGGCATCCTGAATTTTGTATGGGCTAAGTCTGGCACCCCCCCACCATCTAACATACTATATATTTTATTCATTTATTCATCATCTGCCTCTACTACTCCACCCAACCCCAACTCAGTTCTTAGAATACAAATTCAATGAAGACAAGTATTTTTTAGTCTGCTTTTTTTTCACTGTTGGATCCCCAGCAGCTCCAAAAGTGGCTACTGTAAAACAGATGTCCAATATTCACTGAATGAATGAATAAGTGAAGGACTTGAGACACTGTCTCAGTCTGACCGTGTCAGTTTCTGAAACATCTATGAATTGCTCTGGTTGTTTCAAAGTTATTTCTTAAATTGGTCTCATTCTAATTGCCCCCTTTAGAATCTGGGTCATTTCTTTCAGGACAGGCCCAGAGGTTGAATTCCTGCGGTCTAAATCCCATCCTATCAAATGAGAGGGACTGTGGGGGTCAGGGGGGAGGGGAGACTTATCTCCAGCTGGAGTCCCCTGACCTGGTGCCCTCAAGAAGTGCTCTGCTTTGGAAGCACAGATAACTAGACTGATACTGTAAAACCCAGGGATTCTTCTCCAGCATTTAGGAAGCTTAAGGTTTCCTGCATTTCACTGGGGGATTTCTCTCTTCTAATTGTATTTTCTTCTGTCTGGCTAGGTTTTGCATTTTCAGTGTGGATGAGTCATGTGTTTCTTCCCTTTTGCATTAAAAAAAAAAAAAATCCCACACACCTTTCCCCTTGTGTATAATCCCAACTCCCACGCTCAGCACAGCACTCCAGCAAGTCTTTTTGTTACTAACTGGCCCCTGGATGAACCTGGTGAAGGGTGGGGTGGGGGTGGTTCAGGATCCTTCAGTTTATGAACATACCACCTATATGATACTATATGATAGGCTCTGGCATCACAGACATCAGACACTGGTCAACAGAGACGTCTTCGGTCACCCAACCTCCCTGCAAAATTTCTTTGGAACAACATAAGCTTCTGGAAATTCCCTACGGAAAAGACAAGTCTATTATAAACACAATGAAAAGGAAACGGCCTGAAGAAAATTCACCAAAATTGTCTAACAGCTCCTAACTTTTGCATTAAAACCTAAAGAAGATTCGGAGTGCTACCTATTATTCACATAGGTAAGTGCTCCCTGCTGTTCTGATCTACAAAACAAAACATCCCTAAACTCTGTGACTTTACTCTAAAATGCTGCAAAAGTTTGCATCCCACAGGCAGTTGCCTCTGGAATCCCTCAACCAATGAATGGAAATGCTGCCGTCCTGGAGGTAGTTTGACAAAAACAGCTCCTTTCCGCGCACTGCTAAAGCACAGGGGGAAATTATTCAAAGCTGCTTAGCGATTTATTTGCCCTTGCCTAGAGATAACCGCACAAACTGACCGCTCCGCTCGGTGGGCTACAAATATGACATCGCCCTCTGCCTCTTTTTTGCTACTTTAGAAAATCCTGCCAGAGATAAGGGGAAGCCCAAGAAATCACAGCTCGCAACTCAGTTTAGAAAACGCACCACCCCCAAGAAATCAGCTTTTCCTTTCGCCAGGCGCTGGGTCTCCCGTTTATAAAAAAGCAGCGAGCGGCCAAGGGCACGCGTCCCCGTCACTCCATCTTTGAATGACTCGGTTACTCACCCTGCATCTGTCTGCTGTCTGCTGAGTAAGGAAGGCACGGCTCACATTTCTGGCTTTCGTTTTCTTCCATTGTCCCTGCCTGCGGCTCAGGCTCCTGGCTCTCTTGAAACTTCAGAGCGCAGTTCTTAAGGCTCCCAGAAAGCGCCTGGAAGGGGGCCGGGGGTGGGGAGGAGGGGACCGTGCGAAACCCCACCCCAAACTATTTTCCAGTCCAGTGCAAAGTCTCCCTCGCCGGAGGAAACTGCATTCCAGCGCCGGGGCCTCCCTCGCTCTGTCCCGGGTCTGCCGGTCCCCCGCCAGCCAGGTCCCCTAGGATTGGGGGCGTGCTCCTGAGGCTGTGGCTGTCCCCGCCTGGTGTCCTCGTGCTTCTCTGGCTGGGAGGCCCCAACAGGTGATGGCCTTTCCTACCCAGGACTCCGCCAGTCTGGTTCCCCCACCGCAAACTCCCGCCCGAGACTCTGCAGCCCAGCGAGGAAGGAAAACATTTCACACATGATTAGGGACAGGAACCTTAGCTGGAAGCCAGTACCCCGCTCTCTTTAATCTCAAGAGCGGAATGAGCCTCCAAAATCCGCCCGTAAGATACACCTATTAATCAACAATGAACCACGGAACCTCCCAAATTTAAAAGAAATCCCTTAAAAGTTCTGAAAGAAATAGTATGTAATGAAAGGTGTGAAATAAACATGTCCCGGCACTAACTTTTTTGGGGAGTGATTCGCATCTATAAAAAGGTAATGTCATTTTCACAAGGTCCATTTCAGGGTCTTCCTCTGGATTTTAAAAGGAGTTTTTTACTCAGTTGCGTTCACTTTCTCTGACTCTTCCACTCCCCCCCCCCCACACACACACACATACACACATGCACGCAGGCACGCACACCCACCCCTTGATCACAAACTGAAAAGTGACCTAGTAAATCTACCTTCTGACTCTCTCAAGTTAATTACTTTGAAACATCTGAAGGGCAATTAAAATGCTTTTCTTTGGATGGGCAGAGTTACATCCAACATACTTGTTCTCCTTTTAAACTACCTACAAATATTTATTTTGTTCTTTACCCAGTCCTTGAAAAACTGGCAAATTTCCCAGAAAGTGAAAATAGGAAGCACCATGTCCACACGAAAAAGGATGGGAAAATAATCTAAGCAACATTTGCCCTGCTATTTCAGATTCCTCAGAGTAACACAGTAACTGTTAGGAAGAGTGTGATATTTTAATCTGTGGCCCCATATCATGGGGGGGGGTGGACAATGGTCAGCCTGCTGGCCATACCTTGACCCAACATACAGGCCATTCAGGCAAGGTGCTTTGATATTGACTTAAGTCACAAATGTGTGTAGAACAATGGATGGCCTCTCTGCCAGATTATGACCTTGAGTCACAGTCTTTGATGGTGGGGAGGGGGGCATAGTTTGGTCATTTAGGACATAAAAATGCAGAAGCCCCTAATGGATGAAGGGTATGTGCCGCAGTCTGGCTGGGCACAAAATCAGGAGCCACTCAAGCAGGAACAAACTTTATTTCGGAACTCCCCCGAATGCCGGCCCTCTCAGGGACACCACACACCAACTGGAACTCCCTCCACCGGAACTTCACCAACCAACCCGAACTCCCCAGGAATCCCCTCGAGAACTCCAAAGTAGTGGGCTCCCTAGGCAGCAGGGGTCTATATACAATTGATTACACAGCCTGTTTCAATCCAGCATCATCCAGTCACAGCAATTATACACAGCTTAATTTAATTATCATCATCTTAATGGCCCACCTCTCAACCATTACTTCTGGCAAAATGCCAGGGGTCATTCCGACTCGGCTGTGGCTCTCAACAGGTATGGACCAAAAGGAATGTAAAAATGTGAAAAAAGGAAGTTATACACATATTGGGAGGAGAAAGAGAAAGCCCCTCAACTCCTAACAGAATTTTTATTAACATCTAAAAAGTTGTGGTGAATCTTTCAGGAAATTAAAGCTATGCCTTGGCAGTGTGAATACAAGCAGTTGGTTTTACAGGGCAGCTAACTCAAGGTCTCCATGACTTTGCAACACAATTACCTGGTAATCTTGCTTCAAGGAGAAACTAATCTTAACAGTTTCTGTGGTAGTGGCCTGCAGGCAAACACCCCATGAACCTCACTAGTTCTTTAGGTACAAAATGTTAAAGAAGGAAAAATCTCCTGGTTCAAGCCACCAGGTGCAGATTATCTTGATTTTTGTATAGCTGTTGTGTGTCTGTCTTCAAATTATTAATACCAAAAGGGGGAGCACTGAAGCACTAGAATGTCAGTCTAAACCAGATGTCCCTTGACCTTGGGTTTCACAGCAATCCAACTTGCTTTGGTGTAAGAACCGGCTCTTAGCAGTGCCAACCTGTCATTTGACAAGTAAGGAGACAACAGCAGCCTACCCTGGCGATATCCCAGCTACCTCAATTCGGGCAGAAAAGATCCATTTGTGGACAAACACAATGCTTTTAAAACTGGGACTGTTTGGAAAGTGTCAGAGCAGCCACCAGGCCTCTGTTGATTCCCAGATAGGCAAAATGGGGGGCACCCCTCCCACCATGTCAGAAATCCCAGTTTCCATACAGACCAAGGACCACCCTTAGCTGCCCATGTGTTCAAGCTGCGCTGACCTCCCCTCCCCCATGGGCAAAGTGGACTGCCACCTCTGTAGACATTCTAAGAAGCAAACTCTTTGTGGAATGCACAAAAGAAAAAAGCAGTATGAAAAAGATAATTAATAGGAATCATCCAGGACTATGAAGTTGACACGTATGTTTGAACACATAGGTTCTCTTGAGTGATCAAAACTTCTGGATATTCTACAAGCAAAAGCTTCTATTTATTGGGTGAGTTACTGGCCTCTTGTTCCTCCTCCTTAAGAAAAGGAGCTAAAAACAATTTGAGAAGACACTGTATTTATACCACTGTGCCCAGACTGTGCCACACCACACCTCTCTCCCCAAAGCCCCCACAGACCTTACCAAGAACTTTACAGAGACTGTCAGTTTCTCTGGAAAACAGCAGCTGTATTTTGCAATCCACATAAACTTGGTAACTCTGGTCTTCATGAAAATACTACTATTGTCTTTACTGTTACTGGGGAGATGTGCTTCTTTCTGAAAGAAACTCTTTCTTTGAACTAGAAGTACATTGTTTTTGGTTTAATTTAATTTCTGGCTTTAAAAATTGCTATTACGTTCCAATCTGCCTACTGCCATACTTTGAAATTTGCTGAGAAAGGGAGAAGAACTTGAAATTTGATTTTTCCTGTAGTCATATAGACAGCAACAATGATGACGCCAGAGGGCTGAGTTTTCAATTCCGTTTCTGTTAACCAGGAAAGGTGCAAGACTATTTGGTTAATGACTCCAGATGTTGCACTTCAAGACTTAAAATGAGCTAACACACACAAAAAAGTGTCATTTAAAAGAAAAAAAAAACAAACAAGTGATCAAAGAGTGTTAAAAGGACAAAGGTAATTTTTCACTCATAGCTAATCTATTATGGAACTGAATGATTATTGGTTTTGATAATGAAAATTAAATGGCATGTGCCATGATGGGAAATTCAACACAAGAATCATAAACAATTGTGGATGATTTCTCTGTAGGCCTATCTAATTACAGGGCAGAGGAAAACATGTAAGTTTTCTTTATGTAAGTTTTTAAGGGGAGAAATTGCTAGAACCAAACCTAAGTGGAATTGATACATGTTTAATCTTTTATTTCCTTTCCCTATTAAAAGCAAGATAGTTTAAGATAACAATAAGACACAAAAGAGATAATCAATGCTTTCTGGAGTCCTTAAATGTACTTTTCAAAGGCATTGATAAGTAGAAAAACTAGATAAATAAATGAAATAAATTGAAAAGCAAACAAGTCAACAGAAATGTTTCAAGCAGAGGCCTTGTGTTGTTTGATGGATATTACACATCACCATTTCCAAGGGACAGACTACAGTGGGTTGCCCTGTAAGGCAGAAGGAAAGGTCTTTTAACAAGTGGGAAAACATTTACTTGAGTGGATGATCTGGTGAATGTGCAAGGAAGACTTGCCCATCTTAGTTTTGACAGCAAAGTGTCAGGTGGCCAGGGTGACCTTATACTTAAATATAAACTCTGAGCACTTGGGAGAGTGAAAGGGAGAACTATTAATAATTACAAACTGGACAATAAGAAACCATGACTGTCCCTGGTAAATGAGCACAGATGGTCACCCATGTGTGATCCAAGATAAGCCCTGTGTACTCAGAATTTTCCTTCCTTTGTTAAGAGTAACAATCTCACAGATGTGATCAGGTAGTCATTTACATCCCCAGGATTCTTTGCAGAGGATCTTCAAGCTTCCCTAACACAAAGTTCTTAAAGTGCCAGCAGCTCTGAAGAGACCTGAGAACTGAGAAGGCCAAGGGCCCCTGAGCACTCAGGCTTCCCTGTTCATATGTCTTGGGATGGTCCTCTTGCCCCTTCCTACAATATATAACCTATAATATATAACCGCACTTAGATACAATGTGTTAATACTTTAAGCATATTTGCTTTCTTTTTAAAGGGAATCTATTGATGTTCATTTTTATCGGGGTTTCTTTCATCTCCTCCACATTGGAAGATACAACGAGGCAGAACTACCATCTGTGTACCACATCTGGAAAGTGGGGCTCATCTCTCCTCCCTGGTCACAAGAGAGCAAGTCTGGATTCCAGGTGGCAACTTTTAAGTGAAAATTACTCCGTTGTATATGCTCATCTCTTTTATCCCAGAGTTTGAGCTAAATCGAGGCCTGTTCCACAGGAGTTTCTGGATGCTCAGGGTGGAACCCATGAGAATGTGAGAAATTCCACTGATCCCAGCATCTCCTTGGTTCCTAGATTTACCTAGTGGTGCCATTGTCAGCCCTTTCCATAGAAAGGATTTCATGAAAAGGGACTTCCCTGGCTCATTTGTTGCCCCTGGGTTTCCCCAGATGCCCTCACTCAAAGATGGAGTGAGCAGTAGAGAAGGGCAGGAGTACAACGGGGGACGATCACATTGCTGAGAAATTTAATCATCAAGTTCTCATTTTCCTATTGCCTTTTCCCACGAATGAACATATGGCTCCCATCTCTCCTCTAAGCCCTGACACACTTGTTGAATGTGTTAGGATCTTTTATCCTCTTTTCTCACCACTAAAGTCAAAGACAATTGCCCTGGATGACCCTTTGAATATTCCAATTCTTTTTGCTATATTGAAATAGAGAACAAAACCAGGGTTGGTATAGGGGAGGGTATAAGTTATTTCTGAAAATCTTGTCCTTTGCAAGGTGGACACACCTGTCATCAACTGGGAAGACTGAGGCAGGAGGTTGACAAGTTCAAGGCCCCCTGGACAGCTTAGTGAGACCCTGTTCAAAATAAAACTGAGATCCTGGCACAGGGCTGAGGATAAGCTCAGAGGGAGGACACTTCCCCAGCATGCCC